TGTTACATCACATTGATTTGAAAATAGCATGTTACCAGGAAGGAGCAGCTACCTTGGGCTTCATCAGACCTCAGTCAGCCACAATGTTTTTTAACATCAGATTGAAGTTAAATTTATTGTCACAATTAGGCACCTGTGCAGTAAATCAGTTTTGTCTCATACTGAAAAATAGAATACATTTCATTCAGTCTAGTATCCTTTATAGAAAAATATACTTTCCTGACAATTAAGTAGTATAGCTCAAAGTAGTTTTAAACCCTCCTGTTTTTTTAATTAAAACGGTGTTCAAGCCAGAACCAAAAATGTGATATGTTGCAGCTTATCAACCCTTAGATGTGGTGGCTGCATTAGTTTTCTTTTTTTGGCTTTTTTTCCCCCCATCTGCTGATCTGGCTAGTAACACTTCTCCTGTATCAGGCTCCATGCACACTAGCGTTTTTTTAACCACTTCAAGTCCGGACACTTTCACCCCCTTCCTGCCCAGGCCAATTTTCAGCTTTCAGTGCTATCACACTTTGAATGACAATTGCGCGGTCATGCAACACTGTACCCATATGAATTTTTTAGCATTTTTTGAGACAGATACAACTTTATTTTGCTGGTATTTATTCACCACTGGGATTTTTATTTTTTTGCTATATAAATTAAAAAGTCCAAACATTTTGAAAAAAAAAAGTGTTTTTCTTATAAACTTTTGCAAATAAATATTATTTCTTCATAAATCTTGGCCAAAATGTATTCAGCTATCTTTTTAGTAAAAAGAATAACCCAAATTAGTTTATAACCAAAAATTATAATTTTTTTACATTTTTAAAATTTTTTATAGTATGTATGGGTTTTTTTAATTTATTTTTTTAACATACCGTCACCCTAGCAGTACAGTGTCACCATAATGACACTGTACTACTTGTGGGGTGTAATGAAGATTTTTTTATTTGTTTTTTTTACACTGATTGCTTTTACACCCATAAAGGCTGTAAAAGCAATAATTTCTCCTCTCTGGCTGCATTCTTGCAGCCATTGAGAAATTCTGTGTGAGCTGTGATTGGTCACAGCTTGTCACATGGTACAAGGCTGTTGTGACTAGCCTTGTACCATGTGATCTCTGTGATCATTCACAGATTTCACAAGTAGTAAGCAATGATGTCAGAAGTGACATCTTGCTTACTACTATTCATGTGATCACTGATTGGCCAATCAGTGATCACACGATCGGGACTTCACACAGAGGTCCCGTACAGCGGTCAGTGTCCTCCGGACACAGCGGGCACCGGATCGTGGTGCCATGCACTCCTAAGGAGGGCACACAGGCAGGAAAGCGGGGAGGACGTTTATAAATGGCCACCCGCCCCTGCACTGCTCCCATCCGGCCGTTTTATATACATGGGCCGGAAGAGAAGTGGTTAAGCTGCTATCAACATTTTTTTTCTGCTCCTTGAGGCTAAATTGTGTTATCCTAGTGTATGCCTTGCACACTACTTTAAGCTATTAGCATTTTTTGTGCTTCAGCGTCTAGGAGCAGAAAAAAATGTTTTGTTTGTAGAGTTTTTTGGAGTGTTTTTCCAGCAGAAAAAAAAACACTAAACGCTACAAAAACGCTCCTAACAGCTTTTTTCTAGATTTTATTTTTCTCTACATGTACCATAAAAACGATGGAAAACAGTTGGATAAAAAACCCAAATTAGTTTATAACAAAAAATTATAATTTTTCTAAAAATTTTTTTTTACATTTTTATGTAAAAAAGCTCATAGAAAAGAAAGCTAATAAAATGCTACTAAAAAACGCTAGTATCAGTGTTTTTTATCCAACTGTTTTCCATCGTTTTTTCAGCCTAACAACGCTAGTGTGAATGGAACCTTAGTGTGCACCCACTCTCAATGAAAGAGCACAGGGAGCACATTTGGACTGCAGCATTGTCAATCTGGGAGAGGGGAGTGTCAGATGTACAAGCAGATTTAGATGCACTAACAAACTGAAGCCAAACTCCAGCTCACACTGCAGTTACACAAGCAGTTACAGCAACTGTATTTTTTTTTTTTTGGGAAAAAGGATTTACATAAATAAATAAAAGCTGACCATTGTTAGCACCCCTGTCAGTGGTAAATGGTTTGTCTCATCCCTCTAACTGCTACATTTGCAGAAAAGCTTGTTTTGTTTAAAAACAACAGACTTACTGACTGGATCACTAGCTGAAAATAAAGGAAAGAAAGCCTAAAAAAAGAAATAAAATGCAGCCATTACAGCCAAGGCAAAATCAGGGATATTTTTTTTCTTTACAAAATATATACATAAAAAATTGTGTGTTTCTTATAAAAGCTGCTTGCATCTTCACACTCTGTGCCCCTTCCCTGAACTTCCTGTTAAGTAGTGCGATCAGTAAAGTTACAGAAAGGTCACATGACTTCCGGCTTTGGAACTATTATGCTGAGTGTTGTAAAAAATGCACATTTATGACTGTTCTAAGAATGAATACTAACCTCACTTCTCACAGCCAGGTGTAATTCAAAGAGCATGCATGTCTGTCCTATCAGAGTTACCGCTGCTCTCTCCATGCATACCTCCCAACTTTTGAAGCTGAGAATGAGGGACAATTCAAGGTGACAGCGACCTGCGGCATGCTATGTGTGCCACTGCAAAAGTGGGTGTGGTTACATCTATGATGGCTGGGGAGGGGACAATCTGGCACCCCCTGGGTACCTCAACCGCTAAGCCCTTTAGCTGCTGAGGCAGTGCCTGGGGGTGAACATATGCTACAGCAATGATAATTGACTTTATTATAGCCACAGGATGAATAATACTCCCTGTTGAACACGACCCATTTAAGTGAATGGTGCTGCTCTGCAATGCCTCCTTACCACCTATTAAATGCTCTCTGAAGAGCAGTTCGAATGTTGATTGCTTTACAGAGACCGTGTGATCAAACCCTTGATTATTTAGTTTTCAAATTATTTTACTTTTTTTTTGTACAATCTTTATTTTTACATTTTTAACAGCCCTGTTGGGAGGCTTGGGTGAAATGTCAGGGGTCTAAATAGACCCCTGATGTCTCACTTTTGAGACAGAGAAGGGGACTGAGGACAGAAATTCCTCAGTTCCTTTCTCTGCAGCCTCAGCTGCACTAGACAGTGAATGAATGTGAATTGCTTTGTGCCGAGAGGCTTCCTCTTCATTCACGCACTGAAGCATAGTAAATACAGCAATCAATACCAATCGTTCCAGGAGAGGAAGGAGTCAGTAAATATAAGATATTTACTGGCCCTGTGCTCTCCATCCTGAACCCCGTCCCTCTGAGCCCTGCAGGAGGGAAAGGAGGCAGTGCTGCGAAAAAGCCAGATTACAATATGCCTGACAACACCTTGACATGCCTCATCAGGCTTTTTTGTGGCATTGGCGCAGTAAAGGCTGCTTTCCAACAACTCAACCATACAGCTAATTTTTGTTCAAGTATTTTATTAAAAAAATACAGTCTTTTTCCAGAGCAACCTGTATTTCTTCTGGGGTTACCTGTGGGTTTTTTCTTTGTATCCCAAACAATTCTTCTGGCAGCTGTGGCTACAATCTTTCTTGGTCTACCTGACCTTGGCTTAGTATCAAGAGATCCCCGAATTTTCCACTTCTGAAAGTGTTACTAAACTCAGGATCCTGCATTCACTATATTTGATCTCCCACAGTACACAGAGCATGGAAATGCAATTATTTTAGTAAATATAAAATGCTAAATACCTTTTCTCATCAGCAGTTAGATCAGTCTTGTGACTTCTATCAGTGTCCAGCCAAGCACTGGTTAAAGCTTGCAGGAGTTTTCATTTTGCTCTAGGAGGATGCAGAACCCCTGACCTCCATCTAGACAGTGCTGATTGGGCCTGTGCTGATCACATGCACTCTCGCAAGAAAAAAAAACAAAACTCTCTAGCAATACACACCAAACTGAGCATGTGCAGAGTGACTCCACACGATATGTCTTATCAGGAGACAAGAGGGGGACACTGGAACAAGGGGAGGATCAGAGAAGTCAGGATCAAAAAATGTTTTTACGTAATGCAGAGGATTAACCCCTTATGTTTCACAGTGAGTATAATAAGCATGCTTTACTGCATATACAGATTGATTTTACTGTTGTGGGTTTAGTAAAACTTTAATAAGTGATTGAACAGTACTGCCTGTCATATTCAAGGATTTGGATATCCTTTTTATATCCTTTTCCATATTTACAAAATTCCATTACCTTGTTATTCAGGTCTTTTGACTGTTCTCTTCTGCTCTCCATAGCTTAGTATGTAGCCTGCTCAGTGCATCTAGATGAGCACTAACAAACTCACTGACTATTTATACACTGACAATAATTGCAATCTAAAAAAATCACAGATGTAGGAAATTAACCTCTAATTGCCATTGTAATATCTGTGTGTCACCTTGTGTGTCTGTACCAGGGTATGTAAACTTTTGATCATGGCCATTTGGGTGATTTCTGTTATCATTATGATTTAAAAAGGAGCCAACCAACTAAGTGATAATAAATGGCTTCATATGATCACTATCCTTAAATAAAAAACATTTTTTGGCATGATCAGTCATATTTTCAATATAAATGCCACAATTTCACAATTTCTGCCAGGGTATGCAAACTTTTGAGCGCAACTGTAGATTCATTTGACAAAGCTAGGATTACTGGAGAAACATTTTTTTTTTTCAAATTCTTTATTTATAAGAATCAACAAGGTCAGTTACACCTCAGTAGACATGGATATAGAGAATGTAGGACATTTGGGTCATATAGTACATCAGATCACTATAGATTTATAAATGGTCAGTTATATCGCCACAGAAAAGCAGCTAATGTAGATTACACAGCTCAAATGCACCTAGCACAAAAAATAATGGACTAATTTGTATATTTTCTATGAACACAGTTTAAACTTGCTTTCACTGCTTCTGCACTGCCCCATAGCAAAAATACTGCTACAGGGTGGCCTGGTGTGCGCAAAATCACGCCCTACCTGCGCCACCATTTGCGGCCTTGGCTGTTAATCACTGGGTCCCGTCCGGCGATTGCCTGCTGGCACCCAGTGATCTCCGAGGATTTTTGACGGGGAGAGACCTGTATGTAAACAATACAGATCTCTCCCCTGTCAGTTCCTGCACACTGCTTTGTATGGCTCTGAATAGCAATGCCATACAAAGAAGTGTGCTTTCAGTGAAACACAGACACAGCCCACACAGTGAAACAGCACACGGTTAACCCTTTGATCACCCCACATGTTAACCCCTTCCTGCCCAGTGCCATTAGTATAGTGTTAGTACTTTTATTAGCACTGATCACTGTATTGGTGTCACTGGGGATGCCAGTGACACCAAGTCAGTTCCCCCCAGTGTGAGAATGCCCGCCGCAGTCCCGCTATAAGTTGCTGATCGCCACCATTACTAGTAAATATTTTTTTTAAAATTCAAGTATATATACTGCCATTTGTAAATGCTATAACGTTCACGTAAATCAATTAATTTACAAATATCGGAATTTTATTTTTAGCAAAGACATTTTAAATGAAATTTGATTTTTTATATTTTTTTACTGGGCATGTTTAATAGCAAAAAGTAAAAAAAATTGTTTTTTTTTTTTCAAAATTGTTGGGGATTTTTGTTTATAGCGCAAAAAAAAAGCCGCACAGGCAATCAAATACCACCAAAAGAAAGTTCCATTTATGTAAAACGGGGACGTAAATTTCATTTGATGGCAGCAATGCACAACCTCGCAATTGTCAATTAAAGTAGCGCAGTCAGAGCCCCAAAATAGCTACCTTCAGATTTAACTTTGACTGTACTGGAGAGGTCTTCAGTACTATTTGTGGTCTGATTACAATTTAGCACACATGGGACTCAACTCCCCGATGCCTATGTTGTAGAGGGTCCTTGATCTAAACGGATGTGACCCAGTAGCAACGTTTTATCAACTAGAGAACAGACTCCTAATCTGCTGTGAGCAATTGTTTAAAAGTTGATGACTGATTTTTTTTCTTACAGGATACAGTAAAGGAAAGGATAACCTTGAGTGCACTGGAAGCATATATTCAAGCAGGATGTCTCTGTGAACTGTATGGAATGTTCACTGTCAAGTAACATTTGCAATAAAGTACATTTTTGTGAAATACTCAATATGGCCATACTGCTGTTTTCTAAATGGATTCTAAAGTATACTTTCTCTTAGGTAATAGCTTGTTTTAAGTCAAACAGCTGTCATATTTGTTAGTTTCCTTACTAGATTGCAGAATCTTTATGATTGTATCTTCCTTTCCAGTGAAAAAAAACAATTTGAAATTAATCCCCAAGATAAGACAGAAGTTTGCCTCTTTCAAAAAATTGACTAAGCCAGCAAGGACCCCCAAAAGAGATTCTACCTTGATACAAGCTGTATACTGTGCTCATTGGATTCTACCTTGATACAAGCTGTATACTGTGCTCATTGGATTCTACCTTGACACAAGCTGTATACTGTGCTCATTGGATTCTACCTTGACACAAGCTGTATACTGTGCTCATTGGATTCTACCTTGATACAAGCTGTATACTGTGCTCATTGGATTCTACCTTGACACAAGCTGTATACTGTGCTCATTGGATTCTACCTACAATATACTGTGATTGGATTCTACCTTGATACAAGCTGTATACTGTGTGGCTCATACAAGGTATATTCATTGGACCTTGATACAAGCTGTATACTGTGCTCATTGGATTCTACCTTGGAGCTGTATACTTGCTCATTGGATTCTACCTTGACACAAGCTGTATACTGTGCTCATTGGATTCTACCTTGACACAAGCTGTATACTGTGCTCATTGGATTCTACCTTGACACAAGCTGTATACTGTGCTCATTGGATTCTACCTTGACACAAGCTGTATACTGTGCTCATTGGATTCTACCTTGACACAAGCTGTATACTGTGCTCATTGGATTCTACCTTGACACAAGCTGTATACTGTGCTCATTGGATTCTACCTTGATACAAGCTGTATACTGTGCTCATTGGATTCTACCTTGATACAAGCTGTATACTGTGCTCATTGGATTCTACCTTGACACAAGCTGTATACTGTGCTCATTGATTCTACTTGATACAAGCTGTATACTGTGCTCATTGGATTCTACCTTGATACAAGCTGTATACTGTGCTCATTGGATTCTACCTTGATATATAATGGACTCTACTTCATGTAAAGCCTACATTTATTTGAGTGCACTTCTGGCTTATTTCCTTTATATACCATTAAACAGTAATACACTATGGAGATATGTTCTCTTTCTGTTTTATGGGCATATGATTTATGACATCTATGAGAGTGCTAAAGCCGCCTGCAGACCGGTCACGTGGAATGGTGATTAGTGATTATCTGTTGGCACCATCTGAATATTAGAGTGGTTACTCTGAGGATCCAGAGGAGTTTTTTTGCTTTGTGGCCCTGCAGGGTCATGAAGTAGAGGTGAGAGGCCATTGCAGCCATTCCTTTGGGGATCACTTTGAGGGTGTTTTGGCATCCATGCCGTGCATGAACAGGAAGATCACTGCACCAATTTATGGACTTTTTAATCACCTTATATGTGATGTGTGTTTCACATAGTGTGTTGTGTTGATCCCTTAGCAGGGATTCACATCAGTGTTTGCAACCTTGTGTCCCATCAGGGTACTTGGGGGTCACAATTTATTATATCCCCATGCGGATTGGGGTCACTCTAGTTGTGTGATCACTGATAGGTCTGATGTTTAGACCTTTTATACTTTATCTGTTTTATACACTTTATCACCCATGATTGTTTATTTTTCTATTATAGCGCTGCATCATTATATGTATATGTGATTTAGACCTTATGGTATAGGATAGGATGTTAGCTGCTTTCTAATTATCTATATATTTATATTTATATTTGTTTACATAGGAGCGCAGGAGGATTTTTACTTATGTCTCCTTTCAATTTCCTTTCAATATTCAGAAAAGGAGCCTGCAGCACTGATATCCGCACAAGGGGATCTGTATTTAAAAAGGAGGCCTGGGCTTGTTCATACCTCACATTGACATCTGTACTGTCCTGCAGTGAATGTACCATAAATCAGAATATGCCAAGTGAAAAGGTGATGAATCCCCCAAACGAGTGCTGTGTAAGGAACGTACAGGTTTGGTGTAGGGTCAGAGAAATATGTATATGTATATGTGAAAGGAGACAGCCATCTGGAAGTGTCACCAAATGACTTGGATACCTGAAGAAGTAACCTGTCTCCCATAAGCAGAAGAAGAAGACTTAAAACTGGCAGGAGGTGATCGTCTGTATGTGTTTGAGTTAAACGGGAGCCTAGAGATGAGCTTTCCGATGACGTCAGTCTTCGCTGTCTTGCAGAGCAACTACCACTGCTACGAATTTCAGCATGCAACACTTCAGGGTGTGTTGGATACCAGCATACTCCGTTGCGTGGTGTGATTCCAATTGTCACCTGCTACATCATTAATGTGTCTTTGCAACTTTTTTAATGATCCTAGTGGTGGGTGTAGCTTGACGATCGAAAATTGAACGGTTTATTGTACTGTGCACTTAAACCGTTTTCGCTGCCAGAGCCATTTTTGCATTTTTTGCAAACATGTTTAAAAAAATCATTTTTGACATGAAGATTACACAAAACCCCTAGACATTACGATATTACCACAAAGGTCTAAGAAACACAAATACTCAGTAAAAACACACTATAGTGAATTTTAGGGCAAACAAACGCAATACATTACCCACATTTTTGGTAAAATATAAAAGATGAGGCGTAAATAGATACCCAACATGTCAAAGTGTGAAATGGTGACACAGTACCCAGTATTTTCTATAGGCGACGCTTCAAAAGCCCCTACAGGTCATCAGTTTAGTGTTATGGAATTGGTCTTGTGCTAGAATTATTGCACTCACTCCAGCATGTGCGGTGATATGTAACATGTGTATCGCAATCAATGTTTTCACGTGTAGGTGCCCCCGACACATGGGTTTATGTTCATATATGCATATATGTGGGGGGATCATTGTTTTTTTATGGGGGGGATGTTATGTGCTTGGGTGTAACTTTTTTGCAATTTATTTTTTTTTTTTTTTGCTTAACTTTTTTTTCAATCACATAGGGAACACAAAGTCCTTTATGTGATGATTTTTAGGTGACTGGTTCTCTTTAATGAGACATGCAGGGTGTAAAAGGCTCTAGCCAGGGAAAGTGACAGGGTGACCCAGAATTGACATCATACACATCGCTTTATGGGTCACAACAAGAAGGGGTCCACTCCCCTCTTTCCTCTCGACTTGTTGGCACCTGCCATGTCAGCTACGGGCCCACAGATGGGTAAGCGGAGCCCAGAATACATGGCATGGGCACATGCGAGGTGCACCTTTACTGGGGTGTGTGGAAGCAATCGAGCAGCAACATAGCCGCCGGACAGTTTTCCGCCTGACAGGCAGGAGTCTGCTTGTAAATTTTATACACAATCCTGGTGGCTGCAGCCACCAGATTGTGTGTATAACCCCCCACTGTCAGGCCCGTACACAGTATGGACCTGCCAGCAAAAGAGTTAAAGTGGAATTTCAGCCAAAAGGAGAAGTTCTACTTTTTTCTCCTCCCTCCCTCCCTCCCTCGCAGTACTTGGGATTTTTTTTCGAGGCCGGTACCTAGTTTTGAGAGGTACCAGCTCCCACTTCCGCTTCGACCGCCTAGGAGATCGAAGTGGTAGTTTGACCCCCGTCTCTTTGCCTGCAGACTTCTAGAACACATCACAGGTCTCAGGAAGCTGTGGGACCGTTCACAGGGAGCAGCGTGGCTCACACATGCACAGTGGAAAGACGGCTGTGAAACAGCAAAGAGTCACAGCCGGCTTCCCACAGTAAACATGCTGACATTGGGGACTGGATCCCTGGACAGGTAAGTGTGTATGTTTTTTAAAAGTGAGTAGCTACAGTATTTATAGCTGCTGTCCTTTAAATTTTTTGTTTCCAGGGTGAAGATCCTCTTGAAAGCTAGGTTCACATATGTGCGGGTGGTGCGGCTGCAGATCTGCACAAAAATCCATGCAGCTGCACAGAGGAATGCGGACCCTGCGGGCAGGTGCCATTAATTCTAATGGCACGCCACCCGCACTGGAAAACGCAACCGTAGTGAGAACCAAGGTTCCCGTGCGGTCTGCATTTTCAGAAGAAGTGCAGGGACTTCTTCCCTGCATTTCACAGGGCATGGGAGTCCATCCAAATGAATGGGCTCTCGTGCCCATGCAAAACGTGGCTGCATATGTGTGAACCAAGGGTCATTTGAATGGACTCCCATGCCCCGTGACACGCAGGGAAGAAGTCCCTGCACTTCTTCTGAAAACGCAGCCTGCACAGGAACCTCGGTTCCCAG